AAAGGGTCGTTCTGGTGGCGAGGAATGAAGAAGGACGTCGCCGAGTTTTTCAGGAGGTGTTTTACCTATCAGCAAGTCAAAGTCGAACATCAGAGTCCGATTGGCCTCCTGCAGCCACTGCCGATTCCGAGGTGGAAGTGGGAGGAAGTCACGATGGATTCGTTGCGGGATTACCGAGGTCGTCTGAACATCACGACGCTATTTGGGTCGTGGTCGACAGATTGACCAAGGTCGCTCATTTCTTACCCGTTTCGATGAAGATGTCTTTGGACAAGTTGGCTGAGATATATATATGTGGGATCATTCGACTCCACGGAGTGCCCGTTACTATCGTATTAGACAGAGATCCTAGATTCGTCAGTAGATTCTGGCACAGTTTACACGAGGCGATGGGCACGAAGCTAGAGTTCAGTTCAGCCTACCATCCGGAGACAGACGGTCAGTCAGAGCGGGCTATTCAGACGCTTGAGGATATGCTTCACGCTTTGGTCGTTGACAGGGGTGCTAAGTGGGAGTCGTTGTTGCCGTATGCCGAGTTTGCGTACAACAACAGCTATCATTCTTCTATTCAGATGGCTCCTTACGAGGCACTTTACGATCGCAAGTGTCATTTCCCTCTTTATTGGGACGACGTCGGAGAGCGACGAGTACTCGGTCCTAAGTTGATCGAGGAGACAGCAGATCAGGTCGAGTTGATCCGACAGAGGCTCAAGACAGCTCAGAGTCGACAGAAATCTTCAGGCGATCATCACCGACGAGACAGTCAGTTTGACGTTGGCGAGCCAGCTTTTCTCAGAGTTCGTCCGATTCGCGGAGTTGTTCAATTCGGAAAGAGAGGAAAGTTGCACCCTCGATTCATAGGCCCGTTTGAGGTTCTCGAGCGAGTAGGCGAGGTCGCGTATCGATTAGCCCTACCTCCCGAGTTATCAGGCATTCATAATGTATTTCACGCATCCATGTTGCGTAAGTACGTGTGCGACCCCGATCATGTTATTCCCCATTCAGATATTCAGGTTCAA